TTGACCTGACCTGACCTTGACATCCCATATTTGATTATTTATTGACATATAATGACATACCCTTATACTTCACATGTGAGAATACGCTTATTAAATATTTCATAAACCATTACGAATATTGCATGGATGCACTTAACATTCAAATATTGGAGTATAAAATTGAGAGTTTAAATAATTAAGTTACTTGGCAAAAATGGGTGAAAACTGAATTATAAAAGAATCACCCTAATGTTTATTGAAATATCGAGAAAGTCATCAAGTCTGGGCCGATAAGTGAATTATTATATGAATTATACAAACTAGCTCCTGATTTTTTGGATAACGCATATGTAAAAATTAATCAAGCTAAACTATATTGTCAAATGATAGATATATGTATACAACAAAATTCTAACCAAGCTATTGTAGGAGTTGATTTTGTAGAAAACTCTAAATGCATCACTCAAATCAAACCACAAAGCTCTCATTACAGCAAGACTCCAATTTTAATTTTTAACTCAGACACTTGCAATTGCATTGGACCATCAAAAACATTCAAAAGAAACCGTGATTCTGTTTATTAATGTAATTATGGAGCAACTGCCAGAAATAGTCCAACAAATTACATTTTGGAGTGATAATGCAACATCTTAGTTCAAAAATTACTAAATAATGGAGTCTTAAAATAAAGTTACAAAAACGACACAAGATAAAAATTAATTGGGCTTTTTTTGCACCCATGCACTGCAAATTCGTTTTGTCAGAATTAGAGGATTTGTTAGAAGATTTGTAAAATTCAGAATTTTGACTCAAAATATCGAAGTAACAACAGCATCCCAATTTGCAAAGGCAGCAGAAAATATGGATGTCAAGGTTATGTTGGTTGATGTTGATGAAATTAAAAAACACAATGAAGAGATTTGAGTCAAAATTAATTTTTTCATCAAAATCGTTACCATGAATAAAAAAAAACATTATTCTGAAGTTTAAACTATTACCAAAAATAAATAAAGTTATTGAGAAAATCGCACCTTGTTTGATTTATGATATTTATTTGTTTATTAACTAAAGTTTTTATTATGAAACTAGAGTGGAAAGAGAAAGAAGAAAAGCAAATTTTTTTCATTTTTGGGTTGTTTGGTGTATTTATTTCTGGTCAATGCACAGTGGGCCAGGTGGTGGAAAAAAGTATTAAAAAATATTCTCAAAAATGGCATTGTTATATACCATTTTATAGCTTAAACATCCGGCTTTTATAAAATGTATATATTTATGTATAACTATCATGTCGTTTGCATTTTAAGCTGTTAATAAAAAAGGTATTTTTTTTTTAAGATTTTTTTTTGTTGTTTTTTAATTTAATAATATTTTTCGTGTTAGTAATAAGCATATAATCGGTATTAATTATTAAAACTTCATTTTTTTATTTAATAATTAAATAAAACTAAGTATTATTTATCAAATGAGCTATTGCAAAAATATTTTACACGTAAGCTAAATCAAATAAATTGATTTCTAATGATGGCTTATTAAAAGCACTTTTTTTTAGTGAAAATTTCACTTAAATAATGAAATACTTTTGAGCTCCAAGGTGCTCCAAAAATTTGAGACTTAAAATATCTTGCTTAATATGTACATTATTGATATATATTTTATTTTTTGTCGGCAGGTGTCAGCTGCGTTTCTATTAATGATTTTTACAAGTTTCATCTTTTGGGCAACATTCTGGCTTTTCTTTGTGTTTCCAGGCTCCAATCATCGCAATTTTTTAGCAAATCATATTTTTATTACATTAAAATAAACATATAAATATTTGGAGTTTGTTTTATCTCCAAATGTCTCATAAATAGTATATTTTTTGTATTTGTAGGCTGAAAATGAAATATTTTGATATCTATGCATTCATTATGCATAAGCCTAATAATCTACAAATATCTGACTCTGGCATTGTGGACAAACTTATTGATGCTATGAATTTGGATTGCAAAAAACAGCAATTAGGAACTATAATAACGCATCTGCGAGATAAGTGGCGCAAGTCATATTGCAGCATGGCTCGATTTGAAGAAAAGAACAAAAAATGGCTGCAAAGCCATGTTCCTGAAAATTTAAATGTAACACCAATACCTATTGGAAGACCAAATAAGACAAACTTTGATGACTACTCTACTAAAACCAAAAAACATAAAGTTAGTCACTTAACTGAAATGTATTCTGATTCTGCGTTACAATTTGCTTCAGAAATTAAACGGAGAAAAGAAAACCAAACTGAAAAAACCTCAAAAAAAGATAGTAGAATGTATAAAGACGAAGCTCTTTGTCTTCTTTTAGATGCTAGATTGACAAAAGTTTCCTACCAAATTATTCGAAATCAAGTAGTTGAAATGGGAGTTGATATATATCCTCCATATAATGATGTTTGGGATGCAAAGCTGTTATGCTATCCTACAAATATATCTGCCTCAGACTTTTCAGCTGAAATAAAACTGCAAGCTTTGGTCGATCATACAGCAAATAGAATATGCAAGGCACAGTATGATGTCCTTATCACTGAAGGCACTCCAGATAGACTTTCTCTGAGATACAAAATAGGCTTTGATGGTGCCACAGGACAGTCTATATGTAAACAATTATCGCAAGGAACAGTAATAAGAAATTTAAACAATGAGCTGGCACTTTTTATTACTTGCTTAGTGCCATTAAACTTGTGTGGTTTTTCAAATGGAAAACAGTACCTAGCTTGGCCAAATCCACGACCATCATCAACAATGTACTGTAGACCTCGGCGTTTTAAATTTGAAAAAGAAACAGTAGCAGTTTCTAAATCAGAATTGGATGTCATTAGGGTTGAGATTTCAAACTTGCAAGATACTGAAGTTGATATAAATAATAAAAAAATCAAAATACATCATATAATACAAATTACTATAATTGATGGAAAAGTTCATACTGCTCTTTCAGATGTTACAAATTCAGGTCAATGCTGTACTATATGTGGGGCAAGTCCTAAAGCAATTAATGATATTGAAAAAATGGTTTTGAAAAAGGGTATGGCAGGTTGTTATTCATTTGGTTTATCATCCTTACATGCTTGGATACGATATTTTGAATGTTTATTACATATTGGATATAAAATAACTTTGAAAAAGTGGCTGGCAAGAACTGCAGAAGATAAATCTAAAGTAAAGGCTCTGAAACAACAAATTCAAAATAGATTTAAAAATAAAATGGGCTTGATAGTTGATGTTACGAAATCTGGTGGTAGTGGAACATCAAATGATGAAAATACAGCTCGAAGAGCATTTCAAAATGCGAAAAAGTTTGCAGAAATTTTAAATATTGATGTTGAACTGATTTTAAATTTGCATATTGTATTGGCAACAATTTCATGTGGTTTAGATATTGACACAGATTAATTTGAGGCTTTCTGTTTAAAAACAGCTCGACTTTATGTTCATCATTATCCTTGGTACTATATGCCACAATCTCTTCACAAAATTTTAATCCATGGTTCTGAAATTATCAAAAGTTTAGCATTACCCATTAGTATGTATTCTGAAGAAGCTCAAGAAGCACGCAATAAAGACTTTCAAAACTATCGTGAACATTTTGCAAGAAAACCATCTCGTGTGAAAATTAATCAAGATTTGATAAATCGACTTGTGTGTAAATCTGATCCATTTATTGCATCTCTGAGAAAGACAGCAGGAAGTTACACCAAAACGAAAAACTTACCAGCTGGAGTTATTGACTTATTGAGGTCATCCACAGATGATATTAGTTTTTAAATGTATCTTTTGTATCTTTATAATTTTGGAAATGTCTGTACCTATATGAAAGTGTGACTGTAAACTAAAACAATTATTTATGCTCAATCCTATTAGAATCATTAAATAATTTGCATACCAATTTTAGAAATATTTGGCTAAAAATAACCCTTAGGAACTAAGCATAAATAAGTGTTGCTATGCAAATGGGGTTGCCTTGGCAACCACACCAAAAAACAATGCTCATTTAAATTATAATCATCCAATTAATTTATATACTAATTTTTGGGGCCTATGGATGAAAGGAAAAAAAGTTATGACTTTTTTCCAAAAATATGGGATTGTGGCCCACTGTGCAATGTGACAGCGTTTTTACAGCCTTTACTCTAAGTATTTATAAAGGAGTCACACACATATTTCACAATTATAACCACTATTAAGTAGCCTACTCGTCTGTAGTGGCCTTCTCGGCCTTGAGGAGGTGAATAACAAAAAAACAAAAAAAAAATTTACAAAATTTTAAAATTAAAGTTAAAGCAATCGAATAGTTATTTGTTGTTATTAGAATTTTTATTTCAAATCAAAAAAAAAAATCTATGACGTTAAAGCGCCTTTTCATTTTGGCACTCACAGGCTACGCCCCAAGGTTTACTGGAATTATACAACATCTTTTACATACCAAAACTTATAAATAATAGATGTTATTAAAAATCAAAATAAAACTTCACTAAATTAGCATGTTTTTAAACAATTATGATTCTCTGAGTTAAAGCGTTTCATCGGTAGCGTAATGTCAGTAACTAATGAACTTCAGAATGATATCTTCTGCAAAGAGAATTATACATCTTTATAGCTTATATGTACAACAAATCGTCTACATAAATGAGTCTTTAATTCAAATTTTTTCAACTTTCAGTGAAACTTGGAGTGAAACATTAAATTAGTTAAAAAATTTGCAAACGTTACATCAGTAACTATGGAATATACCATATCTATCTATATATATATATATATATATATATATATATATATATATATATATATATATATATATATATAATACTGTAAATACCGATTGCTGTGAATACTGTGGTATTCACGGCTGATGATTGCCTTCGGGCATGAAACTTTAAGTCCCGTTATTTAGTTGTTTTTATTCATTTAATTACATAAAGTATATATATATATATATATATATATATATATATATATATAATTTTCTTAATAAAATACAATTAAACTTTTGTTCTTTACCGATCTGGGGTCAAATCTTTTTCTCCTTTCTTTTTTTTACTTTTCTTGGCACCTTTCTTTTTCTATTCAAAAAAGAGTATAGTTTTGTTTATATATATATATATATATATATATATATATATATATATATATATATATATATATATATATATATATATATATATATATATATATATATATATATATATATATATATATATATATATCTTAGTTATAACATTTTTCTAATCCCATGTACCTGCACCATAAATTAATGAGCTTTTTGAAAATTATGAAAATGCACTTTAATTTTAATTTGATTTTCTTGTTAAAAAAGTTTAAACAAGGAAAGTCAATTGAAAATTAAACTTTACTATTTATGGCTGTAAAAAATATTTTTGTTTAATTGTAACTTGCAATTAGATAGTACTTTAAGAATTCACACTTTTGTCATTTTATGAAAAAATGTTGTTTTATGAAAAAAACGACTAACAATGCAAAATTTTAAACCTATAAACAATATCATAAAGCTGCATATCAATTGTTTAATGAAGTTGAACAACTGTTCAATCAAATGTAAAATGTTCAGGTAACAAGTGGTGTATGTATTGCAAAAATCTGAGTTTCAATTTTTCTTTCCTATTTGATACTTCATAAAAATCTTAAAGGCAATTGATTGCTTGCTCTGCAGTGTGATTTATTGTAGAAATTTTTAACCTTTAATTCTGAATTCCAAAACTTTTCACATAATTTAATTCTTTTCAGGCAAAAAAATCGGCATTCTGATAACTATCAGCATTTAGTTAGTAAACCAATGAAACCGCCCATCAATAAGTGATAAATCTACAAATTTGTAAAAGCAAGTTTCTTGTATGTGATAGGAGAAAAAAAAGCCAAAAGAGATAATATTACTCTGGAATTCTGTCTATTCTATTGCATTATTTAATTTAGGCATCAACTAAAACATAAATTCATTTTCTTCAAAAAAAAAAAAAAAAAAAAAACAATAAAAAACTCAAGTTAAATAAAATAAAAATTTCATATCCTGCTATTTCAGTTTTCTTTCCTTACCATTTACGAAATTTCAACTGTTCATAGTTATTTTTAGTCTACAAAGAATAATACTTTTAGTGTTTTTATTATTTGTAGGTGTTCAAACTTTAACACTACTAATTCTTGGCCATCAATTCATGTCAATCAAAATGTAAGTCGAATCTAGTAACTCAGTAAACTAAAATTGTAAACAGTATTATCTAAACTGTGTTTTTTTTCTATATATAATAAACTTGTTTAATAGTGGATCTGTAAATACTAGATTGTGAGGGTGTTTTAACACCAACCTTTTCTTCATATTCTTCTTATGTTTCAGGTAAAAACTAGTAGTCTTTTGTGTTGTATACCCAACACCTTTTTTGAATTTTTGAAAGTTTTAAATTTGAAGCTGATATAGTTTCCTATCTTCGATGCACTTTTACATTTTTCTTTTGTGATGCCAAAAATTTAATTTAATAATTTATTTTTTTGCTTATTATACACATTCATTATAGCTGTTGAGAATTAGTTCTTTTTTAACTCGATAAAAGTGGTAAATTTAATTTTGCTAGCCATAAACTTTTTACTTTGAAAATTTCTTTTTCACAATCTTTTTTTACTTTAATGAATGCTCCAAGATGGATCCTCCATAGAAAGTGAATCTGCGTTTTGAGTAGTATCACACTGCAGCTTTCAAGCAATTGTTCTTCTAGTAGAATGTGATTCCTAAAAATTTTTGTTCACTTGTCCTTGTTTTTTATTAAAGGTAAAAAAACTTAATTTTCTGTATCTTAAAATTCTTAATAGCACTTATATGGTTAAGACATTTTAGAATATGCAACTGCACATATTTGTCAAATATGCACAATTTTAAAATATTTGTGTAGGGGATGACTTTATTTAAAAACTGAATAAAAGTTTTTTATTACTTTTATCAATTTACTTTTTACCAATTGTCATCATTTTATAATACAGGCAGGACACCAAGAAGGAGGGGAAAAAGTTATTAGTGCTTTAAAATAATAAAATTTAAATTTTTTTATTTTTTATTTCTATTGTTACTGCATTTTCGACTGGTGAAAATCTATAGTTATAAGGTTATTAAATCTATAGTTTGGTTATTTAAGGTATTTTTGATGAGTCATCTACCCTTCATCATCTAGGATTAAGTCTTACTTTCAATCTTTCTTGGAAACGTATATAAGTCAATTGCAAAATTAGCATCTGCTCAGGTTGCATTTCTTTGTCGTGCTTGCCACTTTCTTACTCCGGATTCTATTCTTTATCTCTATAAATTTCAAATTCCTCCTTGTGCTATCTACTAAAATTCATTCTCATGTTACTCGTCATTCAATTAAGTCTCATATTTTTACTGTACCAAGAAGGAAAAAAAAATTAATTTGGTCGTGTAAGCTGGTATAATTGTTATCAAATAGTTAAAACTAATTTAAAAGACATTAAAAACAATCTTTATTAAATTTTTTAACAGCCAATAAAAACATTCTTCACGACACATTATTAGCATGGTCAGAAGGACTGTTATTGTCTCTATGAAGTAACACAATTATTGCCAAGGGAACAAAAACTGCAAAACTGTATCAGAACAAACTTATAAATGTTTTGTGTGAATTTGAAATCTCTGTTTTGTGTGAATATCTTTAAAGTTATAGAAGATAGAAGATGAATGGTAATAAGAAAATGTAGAACATGTGATAATAAAAATTTTAATAGTTTAGGAGATTTTTAACTCTTAAAAACTCTTTAAGCCTTTTCAACCAAATATACTTAAAGGGTCTGTAGACTGTGTTCACATCTATATGCATACTAAAACTTTAATACAACGCCTGTATTCTCAACAGAGGATGGATGACCCACGCCTGTATTCTCAAAAGAGGATGGATGAAAAAAACTGTTGTAGAGTCATTATGTAACAAGATTGTTAGAAACGTTGAAATATGAACAGTCTTTGTTATAGACAAAAACAAATTTGCACAATTAACAAAAGCAAAATAACAAAATTGCATAAAAAAAGAAGAGTCACAACAAAAAGAAGAGTCACAAAAAAAAAGCCAAGAAGATATTAAATTCAAAGAATCTGTCTAATAATCCACCTCATGTAAAATGTATGTTGCAAAAGTTTTATTTAATCCCAGAGATCATCCAGATCATATTTTAAAAATCCGAAAAACTGTATGGGTAGAATATCCAGAAAAAATCTGGTATAATTTCTTCTTAATATTGCTTTTAGCTGAATTTTTTTCAAATTTTTTTTTCTGACCTCTTTAAGTTTTTTGTATGGGTGATAAGTGAAAAAGCTTAAAAAACAAATATATTACAAAAATATGCACTTAAACTTAAATGTATGGAAAACATTTTGGATATCTGGAACAACTAAAAGTTAAGAAAAATATCCAAAATTCCAGAAAAATTTGGTAAATGATAATTCCTGTAATTCAGATGCAGAAATGGGGAGATGTAGATGAGATTTATGAAAACATGGATGTAAAATGATTGTGACAAATAAAACACAATCACTAATGTGTATGATAGCATATCCTTTTAATTCATACTCTTTTTTAAATTATACATGCTTATAGTGGCACCTAATTGTTGCTATGCTTTACGCATCATAAAAGTTTAATTTTTTCTTAAATTTTAAAATGTTGGAACCTTATTACCTAAATACATAGGTATCAAATATATCAAACCATATATATATAACCCCATTAATCATAAAAAACATAAACCATACAATCTGATCGCTATTTTGTATTTGTTTTTTTCAACTTTAATTTACTTTTAATTACCTTTTCATGCTTTCCTTTTTTTCCCTTTTTAGCCTGTTGATCTACAACCTGTAAAATAATTATTCATGATACTTACTAATATACTTTTACTAAAAAACTTTTAATTAAAAAGTTTGAGATCTCAATATGCTCTTGCATTTAATGTATTGCAAGAAACATTTTTAATTTTTTTAGTGTTAACTTTAATGTCTTCATGAGCAAGTAATAATAAATTTACAAATCTATTAAAAATAACAAGAAAAACATCAAACAAGTTTTAAGTTCATAAGTTCTTCTCGCATCAATTCATCAATTTGTAACCTGATCTCATTTTCAACTTCAACACTAGAAAAAAATCATTCATAAAATTATGATGATATATACATATATATATATATATATATATATATATATATATATATATATATATATATATATATATATATATATATATATATATATATACAAATAGTATTGCATACTAAGGTAAGCAATCTGTATATATATATATATATATAGATATATATATATATACATATATATACATATATATATATATATATATACATATATATATATATATATATATATATATATATATATATATATATATATATATATATATATATATATATATATATATATACCTATACATATATATACATATACATATATATACATATATATATATATATAAATATATATATATATATATATATATATATACCTATACATATATATACATATACATATATGTATATATATATATATATATATATATATATATATATATATATATATATATATATATATTTATAGGGGCTATTCTAGACTGTTTTCGACAGCGTCAACCATATTTGGGGGCCGATTTGGGCACCGCCTAAATTAAAAAATGAGGACATTTTTTTTTTTACATTTTTTACGGCAATTTTTGTTTTTATTCTAGAAAAAACGCTGATATTTGGCAATATTTCCTCCATGACTGGGAGGACCACCACCCATTTTTTTTTCCTAAAATAGCCCCTGATATATATATATATATATATATATATATATATATATATATAAATATACATTCTGTACTAGCGGTTCTGTTACTAGCAACTTTATAAAATAAAATTGCTAGCAACAGAACCACTAAATATATATATATATATATATATATATATATATATATATATATATATATATATATATATATATATATATATATATATATATATATATATATTAGGAATATGACAATTTTGCAACCCTATATCCCCATACTAAATTTAGCGGAGTTTTTGTTCAAAAATCAAAAAATAACAAGCATTTTCACTATGTGTCAAAAAAGTTCACCCCCCAATTAAAAAATATTTATAAAAAAATTAAAAAAATGTTTTTATAAGTCATCTTCATTCTTAATAAATATTTTTATTTTTAAAATAGGTTTTAATTACTTGTGGGTTTGTCATTTTTTTTAAATATAATTTATTATCTTTTATAAACACATTTTTCTATTTTTAAAATTGACTAAGATTGCTTGTGGGTTTATACATATTTTTAAACTCTTTTAAATTTTTTTAAAATAAAATTGAAAAAATAACTTACAACATAATTTTGTTTAATATTAATATAAAAATATACATCATATGTGGGAGGACGAGGGCGTATTGTACTTTGTTATTTTACTTTTATTCAAAAAAATTTTATCCTTTAAAAAAGAATATATTGCTCTTTTAATCATTTCTAATAATAAGGATAAAAAGCTCTATTTAATTACAAATCTCTTGACAAACGCATTGCTAAATATCGTAACTCTTTGTAAAGACTGAAAAGTAAAAAATAAAATAGAAAAAGCATTTGCTAAAAATATAATCTTTTTTGTACTAAAAAAAAGAAATGAAATTTTTTAATTTAAATTTAATAGTTCGGTAAACTAAATATTGACAGGTATATTTTTATATAAACCTTGTGCCGATCTGTCAATCTTTAGTTTACTAAACTTTTAAACTTAAATTTAAAAGTTTATTTTCTTCTTTTTAATACAAAAAAGATTATATTTTTAGCAAATGTTTTTGCTATATTTTTTTAGTCTTTTAAACTGTGTTTTAGGCTGAAACTAGAAAACATCTCCCTTTTTCTAGTTCTCATTGCTATACAACTTACAATTTAAAAATAGTTATTTAAAAAAATTACACAATTTCACATAAACAAATTATATTTTTTGTTGGGAATTTATTCTGTTGCCTGAGACACTAATGAAAATCACTTTTTTGTTAGGTATGCTATAATTTAACTGACTGTGAATCATAAACTACTAAAAAAACAATATAAACTACAATATATAAAACTTCTCACGTACAACTCCCAAGTGGCTTAGATCGCATGATTATGAACACATTCATAGCTCAAGACTTCAATAATTGTTTTTTATTGGTTGGGAGGTCGTAATTTTAAGCTTGTACATAAACCGTTGTTGAAATGCGAGCCACTATTTACTCTTTGGCAATTATTAGACAAAATTTACAACAATCTGAGTATCATAAAAATACTATAATTACACTTAATACTTTGTTTATTTTTACAATTCAATTAATATTATTAATATTTAATTTGACTATTAATAGAAGTGCTCCCAAGGAGACATTTATCAGCTGATAAAGTCATTTTGAGGATTATTGTGGATTTATTATTCTTTTCTTTAAACCCAAAACAACAATGGGGCAAAAACATATTTTCCAAATATATTTTATATCATGAATATAATTCAAAAATCACGCAACCTTCCACCTATTAAGTTGATTGATTACAGGACAATTAAATACTGAAAGGGAGGTTTATATATGTGTTGATCCATTGTTAGAAATAATTGATGATTTATGAGGTCCTAACAGTTCATTTTGCATTTGAATGGGATAATTTAGATATATATATATAATTTAGATATATATATATATATAAAAATATTTTATATATATATATATATATTTTTAGATATTTAGATATATATATATTTTTATATATATATATATAATTTAGATATATATATATATATATATATATATATATATATATATATATATATATATATATATATATATATATATATATATATATATATATATATATATATATATATATATATATATATATATATAGTTGATATGTGTATTTATATATTTTATATATATATATATATATATATATATATATATATATATATATATATATATATATATATATATATATATATATATATATATATATATAGCATCCTAGTCGCGACTTTCGGAGACATGTTTTTTTTTGTTCCCGTTCTGTTTTTTTTTACTTTTTTATACTATTTTTATCATATTTATATATATTTTTTTTAATTTTAATTTATTCCTATTTTTATTTATACATATTTAAATTTATTATTTTATTATAAAAATATATTTTTTATATTAATTTTTGTTATTTTTATTTATTTATTTCATACTATATTTCATTTTTAACTTCATCTATTTACAAAAACAATTAATTACAATAATATAACCAAACTTAAACCTGGCTGTAACCCTAACCCTAAGCCTGACCTTTATGCCCAGCCTAACCAAACCCTCAGTCCATGCGCTCCTTTGCGAGTCAAGCTATTCGATAGTCAATGTTTGTAATTTTTGCTCTCTATAAAATTTTTTTATGGGTGCATTTTTTTACAAAAACAATAATGCTTACAAGGACAAAAAATTAACGGGTACCCTAAAAGGTCCCTGATAATGCCAATGTCCCTTTAAGTGTTCGTTTTTTGTAAAATCTTTCCCCGTAAGTGATAATAAATATATATATATATATATATATATATATATATATATATATATATATATATATATATATATATATATATATATATATATATATATATATATATATATATATATATATATGCAGGCTTGGTTAGGAAGCGAGTGCGATTGCACTCGATAATTGACCACGGAAATAATATTTAGTAGCGAAAAACCGGCCAGATTTTTTATTCGTTTTGAGAACATTTCAAAAACAAACAAAAAAGCACAATAAGATTAACTGGACCTATAAGAAACGAAAAATTGCTTTTAACGCAAAAAAACTTTAAGCAAAATAAATACAATTAGAGCAAATATTTTTAAAACGTCGTTCTTTCATAATTTTTTAAAACGCCGTTCTTTCATAATTTTTTTTATAAAATTAAGCGACATTTTTTATAAAAAGTAACAACTTACTATTAATGATTGTAGTTGATATGTAGAATGATAGGAAACAAATGTTCTTCGATTTATCTAAGAGTATTTATAATTTTTATTTATATACTAATGTCTTATTTCCAGTTCTGGATTGAGGAGGTGTGTGTGTGGGGGGGGGGTAGAAGGGCTATAGCCCTGGGACTCACAATGTTAGGGGCCGCAAAACAGTCAAAAGGACCATTCGGTATTTTTTTTAGTCATTTTGACGCTGTGGCACATAAAAAAGGCCATCAAAATAATGTGGCCCCCGGCCCTGAAAAGTCCAACAAGATTCAGCCAATAAAACTAACGCTAGATGATTTATTTATAAATAAAAAAGTTAATTCAATAACTATTTTATTCTTCACGTAGTTTGAAAAGTTTAAACAATTCTTCTCAGTAAGATGAACAAATGAAAGAATTAAATCATTGAGTTACTGTAGAAATTCAATTAGCTAGATAGAAATTAACTTAAAACGGAAAATTACTTTGTGAGGAGGAAGCGGAACTGCTTCACAATACCGCTGATGATGTTTAGTGGGTGGGCTTTATAATTTTAATTAGTATTAAAAACAGAAAAAAGTAATGTTATGTTTAAGTATAAGGAGTTTGTAAGAATGGCTGAAGCAAAAATAATTGAAGTAAGTAAACTAATTTCTAAGAACTTAAAAACTTTATTTTCTTGGGGGAAAGAATCAGTTATCGGGGGTACCATGAGGAAAATGGATTAGTGGTTAAAATTATTTGTATTAACTTTGATGATTATTAATAATTTCATTGAAAACACAGTTACTATTGAAAGCATTTTTTTTTTTAAATCTATCACACAAAGTGCTTTAAAAGATTAGGGGCTGTCCATTAATTACGTCAACAAATTTTTTGAAATTTATACCTCCCCCCCCCCTTCCCCTTGTAAACGATTTATCAAATTTCCAGGGACCTTCCCTATAAAATAACGTCAATTTTTGATTACCCCCCCTATACAAAGAACCAACGCTCCAAATTTTCCATTATTTAAGCAATAAAATTCAAAAAAAAATTGTTGACATCAACTTTAATTGACCTCCCCCCTCCCCCTTGGCAACAATTGTCAAAAAAGTTCAGACCCCCTCCCACCTATTTTGTTGACGTAATTAATGGACAACATTTGAATAAAATACACATACATAAAATTACATACATAAAAAATACATAAATAAAAATACATTACATACATAAAAAATACATCCCTTATATATAAAAAATAAGGATATACTAATAAAATCTATAATAAATTTACAAAACGTTGGCAGTTAAAAAAATATAAATTTAAAACATTTACTTTTGTACACAGATAATGTTAGTTTAAAACAAAAGCTTTGTAGATGTGGCTCCGAGAGTTAAAAAATAGTTCGTTTGATGGTATATTATTAAAACAATTTATGCTAGAAATCTCAGAAAAAAAAATATTGAAACTCAAATAATACAATTTTTTTTAATATTTCAACAGAATACTCTAACACATTCGGTTAGTATTTTTTTGAATACTCTAGAAATTTCAGTTTGTATTTTTTGAACCAATAGAATTAGTTGTTCGTAGATTTGGCGTGTTTTTTTGTGTTCGCGAATATTCTTTTTTTTATTTTTCTGCATTAAGATGTTTGAGAATATTCAAAATTTACGATAAAATAATAAACTTAATTATTATTTTGGGGACAAACAAGGAAACATATATAAACTTAAATGTTCTCAAAACGACTAAAAAATCTGGCTAGTTTTTTGCAACTAAATATTATTTCCGTGGTCAGTCATAGAGTGCAATCGCACCCGCTTACCAACCAAGCCTGTATGTATACATACATACATATATATATTTATATATATATATATATATATATATATATATATATATATATATATATATATATATATATATATATATATATATATATACACATGCACACATATATTTACATATACATACATATAAAATATAAATACATTTTAAAGACACATTTATATATAATAAAACATGTTGTATAGACACATTTTATTTGTTTACCGCTTTTGTTCTTTAATAATTTCTACATCATGTTTTTGCTGAAAGTTTAAGGTCTCATCTCTTTGTTCCCACATATCTAGATATAATAAATAAAGCTAAAATATATGCATATTAAAAAAAAAACATGTTTTTTACACATTTCTTAAAAAGATTAAACCTTTGTATTCTTTTTCCTCTGCTTTGAGAATCGTAGCAAACTTGGAAGGTTCAAACAAAACTTCTTCAGGTTGTTCCTTTAAAAAATATATTTTTTAATTCTTGACAAATACCTTTCGGACAAAAAAAATAAGACCAAGTTTTTGAAGTTTTATTTTCAAAATAAGAAATGAACAATAAAATTGTTCAATAGAAAATAAAGAGTAAAGCTTAATCTTTAAAATAATATATTGATAAATATACGGTCATGGATATAAATTTCCTTGGACTTCTATGTCTTTTTGAACACCACAGTTAATACTGTCAATTAATGACTTCAAATAATCTGTTCTAAACTTCTTGAATTTCAACCTCTAAATTATCTAAATTTTTAGGTTTCTTCTTTTTCACTGCTTTTTTCATTAACCCCTACACATTTTCAATGGGGTTTAGATCTGGTGAATTAGCAGGCCAAGAAGAAACTTTCCATTTATGTTCTGTAAACCACTCAGAAACTGATTTTGAAGAGTTGCATGTTGCCCCATCCTGTTGAAATGTAAAACTTGGGAAAAGATTTTTTAGAGTTAGCTCAGCTTCAGAAAGTATTTCTTTGTATTTTTCACTATTCACAGTGCCCTTGATTATGTGCAATGATGTTTTACCTTTGGAACTAATTGCCCTCCAAACCATGAGACTCTGTTTGAACTTTTGTTTTGCCAATTCTCAATCTTTTCTTTTCCCATCAACAAGATAACTCGAAATGACTCTCGTCACTAATACCAATTGATTCTATTACAGTTGCAACAGTGAAATAGAAAATTTTAAATATCAATACCTATGCCTATGAAGTAAAATAATGCTAGTTTGTGACAGCTGTATCTGTAAAATTTTCCATTTTTGTTTTTAACATTGTGAAAATAACCACAACTGGCAAATTTCTAACAAAAGCACTGAGTTGGTCAAAACTCTTTTAGTTACTATAAAAGTCCATTGACCATTTACAGAAAAAAAAAATTTCAAAAGATTTGAACCTTTTGAAAATATCAGGTTTTAAAAAGCTGTGGAATTTAAAAACCTTTATTGAAGCTCACAACTACCAAGATTTTTTTTGGGTTTTCCAGATGAAAATATCTCAAAAATTTGTAAAATAAAATTTTGACTAAAATGCAACATTAAAAAATAAGCATAATAAGCAAAATATAAAAAAGTATAAAAAAAAGAGACAAAATGTACTCAAAAATTATTACTCAAAAATGTTTGTATGTATGAACTTGTATGTTGACAAAATGGAGTTTTAGAGTGTGTTTTGTTTTCATATCTGCATATTCTTGTGAAAATGTAAAGAAAAATAATGTCATAAAATAAAACCTTAAACAGGTTTAAACCTCAATTATCCTCAAAACTCAAAGCCTCAAAAACCTCAAAGCTAATAGATTACTAAACAAATAGAATAAAACACCTATTATAAACTACAACATAATTAATACTAAAATTACAAATTAATACATTAGGAAATATAAAGCGGTAGTGATTTAGTGGTAGAGTGATAGTGGTGTAGTGGTAGAACGCTTGCTTCATAAGAGAGAGCGTTAAGCGATAGTAGTTTAGTAGTAGAGAGCTTGCTTCATAAGCAAGAGATTCCGAGTTTGATTTCCACCACGTCTCTGGTAGTACTGCGCTTAACTTGTTTTCCCACACAGCAGCGTTCTTTGTCAAGGTTTGTATTTTGGAGTTATAGAGTTGATAGATGGTTATAACCACAAGTAATCTCGTCATCTGTAGTGGCTTTCTTGGTCTTGGGGAGAATAATTACAAAAAAAAAAATCAATGTTTTGATGTGAAAATGCAATAAATGTTTTTTTTTTTATTTTATTTAATAAAGCTACTGTGATATTATCAAATGCCAATCATACAGAAAAATCTTATATTGGTATTAACAAAAACTCATTCAAACTTAGGTATAAAAATCACATAAAGTATTTTTATTTAATCAGGTGTAAAATTAACACTTTTTAAGTCTCAAAAGGAAGCAGGTAGGTATGCATGTCTATCTTTGAAAATCTTTGTCTTAATGAAAAAATTTTGTATTATTTAGTCAAGTTTCCTTGTTAAACAAAAAGTGGAATGGTTTCCTTATGTAGACATAAAAGTAATTTTACTTAAGTATTTCGATATGAGTTAGACCAGTTCTCATGTGATGTAAAAACTGACCATAGATGTTGTTACGATGCAAAAAAAAATTTTATGGTTTTTAATTTTTGTGTTTTTTGTATATGGCTTATTAATGGGTAAATAGCATGAAACTTGAAGTCATAACTTTTTCATATAGTATGTGTATATATATATATATATATATATATATATATATATATATATATATATATATATATATATATATATATATATATATATATATATATATATATTCCTATAGTTTGGTATCTAAATTTACCTTTTGTGATAAAAAACGGCTCCTAATGTCCCTCTTTGAAATTTTATAAAAATTTCAAAAATATTAATCATTTTATATAAAGATTACTAGTTTAAACTATAAAAACTATCATTTTTTAACAAAAAATGAAAAGTACATAGTTTTTTTTTTAAATAAATTTTTTTAAATTGTGTTTCCATAAACTGTTTTTATTATTTTTGAAAATAATAAAAACAATTTATGGAAACACAAATTAAAAAAATTTTTCAAAAGACAATTTCAAAAAAGCTATATATATATATATATATATATATATATATATATATATATATATATATATATATATATATATATATATATATATATATATATATATATATATATATATATATATATATATATATATATATATATATATATATATATTTATATATAATTTTTTTATAATTATAAGCTTTGCTAGATCTTTTGTCTTCCCTAGCAATATTTTTCTTTTTAATGTATTTTTTGCATTATTTGAGTGCATCTCTTACTGCTTTTTCGACTACAGTACCAGCCTTTAATGACCAATCAAACTTTCAGAAAAAAAGTGATAAAACTCTGGATTGTCAAACTTATTTCTTAATCTTTTAAAAAAAGATTTTCTGGTCCTACCTAGGAGACTCATCGCGTACATTACCGTTCATAAATATAGGAAGGTTTAAATTATTGCGATAATGATTGGCTGAAAAAAATTGAGTTTTATCTGAATTAAAGTTCACCAGCCACTGTGAGCCCCATGCTGTAGCAGAAGTGAAACCCTTATAGAAAAGACCTGCATGCCAAACTTTATCAAACGCTTTAGAAATGTCAAGAGCAATGGCCTTAACCTCTCTACCTTAATCTAATGCGCGATAAAAACTATCGGTTATTACTGATAGCAAATAAGCCGTAGAACAAGAAGATCGAAATCCATATTGATAATCAGAAAGTAGGTTATGAGATTCGAGATAAGAGATTAAGTGTTTGTTAATTAAAGATTCAAAAACCTTGCTTATGATAGGAAGAAGACTAATGGGACGGTATTTAGAAGAATCGGATTGCTCTCCAGAATTTTTAAAATAGGGGTAACAGATGCTGCTTTCCAGCAGGCTGGAAAAAAAAGACTCTGATAAGCACTTGTTAAATAGTTTTGAAAGGATAGACGACAGCTCCGGAAAACACTTCTGCAAGACTATAACGGGTATGTTATCAGGGCCGCAAGCTGTAGAAGAGTCTAAGCAGGAAATCACTTTAGATACAGAAGCTGGAGTGATTAGAATGTCGGGCAATGGATCAACCTGTTTGATGGCTATATCAGGTATAACGCAACTAGTGGAATCAAGAGATGATATTGATGAAAAGTTCTTGCAAGTTGAAATATATATCTGTAATCAGTGCAACTTGTTGATGGGAAAGACAGAGCTCTTTTAAATCAGTGAATCTTACAAAGATATTCAGAAATTTCTTTTTTAAAACTTCTGATCAAGATACACAAGTATCTTGATCAATACAAAATATTTTGTACATTGACATGTTACAATGTACAAAATATTTTGTACATTGACATGTTACAAAAATTTTGTGATATTTCTACATCAATCAAATTCAATTATAATGTCTGTTACAGAGCTCTTATAGATTCCTTTACAAATTTTGAATTTATTTTAACGGCATAATTGTTTTTGAAAACATTTGAGCATACAACGCAATATTCTGAATATTTGCAAACAACTGGAATGGATCTACTACAAGCCTATAAGATGGTTCTAGACATTATCAATGAATTAAGGTAGATTTTGATTTCATTTTTTCAAGCAGCAACTAATTTTTCAGAACTTGCAAATAGTGAACTTTATTTTTTAATTTTACTTTTGCTTTTTTATTAAAAATAGAAAAAAAATTCTAGTTTTTAATGCAGTATTATACAAATAATTTTCAGTTTATTTTAGGTTATTCATTTTTTCTTCAAGACAACAAAATTAATTAAAAAGAAAGCTTTATTATTTATGTAATGTATTTATGTATTGTTTATGTATTATGTAATATATTTATGTATATTATTTATACTATTATTATATATATTTTTTATGTATTATGTAATATATTTATGTATTATGTTATAGTTATATAAAAACTTTTTTACATAACTATGTAACGTAATTTGCTTTTAGTTACTAGTGACATAAATGTTGTGTGAGTTTAGTTTTTGAATGATTGAACATTTGATCTTTAGCTTGCTATTTTAATTTACTTGAGGAAAACGGAAAAACAAAGCGTAAACTTTTTCTGAAAGCGTAAACTTTCTCTGAAAATTATTAACCTTTAGTAAAAGTTGCAAATACCAGCCTATCAGTAAACAATTATTGAAAATTGTTTAAAGTATTTTAAACATTTGTTAAATATATTTTTGTAAATTAAATTTTAGTGTTTAAATGTTTAAATACCTTAAACCATTTTTAATCAACATTTACATTAAATAATATATTTACATATATTAAATAATATATGTAAATATATTATTTAATATATGTAAATAATATTAATAATATTATTTACATTTATTATTAATATTATTTACGTAATATTTGTAAAATTAACAAAATAGTTTTATGTCTTGTATTTAAATTAAAAACATAAACATTTAATAAACTATTCGAAAAAAATAGCATAAGCATTTAATTAACTTATTTACTAATTATTTAATTTTAAAATTTTTATTTAAATATTAGCAATGTTTAAAGTAATTTTAAGACGACTTTTAAATTAAAGATAATTAAAGAAGAGATAAAAAAACTTTGATTAAAAATCGTAATTACGGTAAATAAAATTTCAAAAATAAAATGCTTTTTTGAATTAAAAGCATAGATTATATTTTAAAAAACATATATTTAAAAAACATATTTTTTATGTAATTAAATAAAATTATGTTTGTTAAATAAAATACATTTACCGTGGGTTATTTTAAACATATTTTAATAAAAATTTACTGAAAATTATTTGTATAATACTGCATTAAAAACTAGAATTTTTTTCTATTTTTAATAAAAAAGCAAAAGTAAAATTAAAAAATAAAGTTCACTATTTGCAAGTTCTGAAAAATTAGTTGCTGCTTGAAAAAATGGAATCAAAATCTGTTTTAATTTAATATATAATACAATATATATATATATATATATATATATATATATATATATATATATATATATATATATATATGCATATATATATAAAATATATATATATATATGCAGATATATATATTATATATATATGCATATATATATATATATATATATATATATATATATATATATATATATACATATATATATGTATATATATATGTATAAATATATATATATGAATATATATATATATATATATATATATATATATATATATATATATGAATATATATATATATATATATGCATATATATACATATGTGTATATATATATATATATACATATATATATATATACATATATATATATATATATATATATATATATATATATATATATATATATATATATACACATACATAATAAACAAATAGGATTTATTTATTTATTGTGTGTGTATATATATATATATATATATATATATATATATATATATATATATATATATATATATATATATATATATATATATATATATATATATATATATATATATGTATATATATATATATATATATATATATATAATATATTATATATATGTATATATATATATATATATATATATATATATATATATATATATATATATATATATATATATATATATTCAAGCTTTAATCGAGCCTATATGAACGAGACTATGATGTTCAAGCTCAGCTCGTTTAATAAACGAGCCTAATTTTTTGTTCAAGCCCGACTTATTTACCATTCAAGCCGAACATAAACGAGCTCTTGTCGAGCCGATCACCGAGCCGCTCAGGAACACGAGCCAGGATTTACAGCCCTAGTTGTTTTGACAACGGAGCAAACTTCATTATAACTTTATATTTTAACAGACTTTTTATTTCTTGATTTTGTATTACATGGCCGATGATTGCCTTTAGGCAATAAACTATTAGTACCATAAAAAGTTGTACAAATTTACAAATTTATATATATATATATATATATATATATATATATATATATATATATATATATATATATATATATATATATATATATATATATATATATATATATTTATACACATATATATTTACAGGGCTGGCATTAAAAAACCTGCCCAATAAAACCCAAAAAAACCCGCCTAAAAAAACCCTATAAAACCCTGGAAAATCTGGGTTTTATTGGGTTTTTTTAAAGATATTTAATAAGTTTATGAACTATTATAACCAACTTTAACATTATAACTATAATATTATTAACTAAAATAGTTATTAACTATTATTATTAACTAAATTATTATTAACTATTATTATTAACTATTATAACCAACAATAACAGCTATCAAGCAGGTTTACTATTATTTGAATCATTATTTGGAAATACATTATTACAATTTTTATTCAAATATTTTTATTGATTGAGATTTTTATTACTTAATGTTATTCACCTCCCAAGTTAAATTTAAATGAGTAGTAGTGACCAGAGAAGCCAACACAACAGTCGACGAGGCTACCTTGTTGTGGTTACAATCCTCTCTCAACTCTTTAACTCCTAAACACAAATCTTTATAAACAAGGCCACTGCACAGCGGAACAAGTTTGTTCAATTGAATTTCAAGTTCAAAGTTTAATTGAAACTTCAGTTCCTACCTCCCATTCTCTAGCCTTCTTTTTCCCATTTTCTCATTGACATTTTTAATTATCTGATAATATTAATACGCTAATTTAATAGTAGTAGTTAATAGTCAACCTATGTCATTTTCTAGGCTTTTCTATTTTAAAGTAGTTTCTAGGCTTTTCTATACGCGTTTTTATTTTTTTTAATTTTATTTACTAACAACCCGTATTACGGGTTGCTTACTGCTAGTATAGAATAATACTTTTAAATTTAAAATAAATCAATACATATATATTAAGCGTGAAATTTGTTTTTTCTATTACAGTTTTAAATTACATTTAAAAATCTTTTTCAAAATAATTTGAAAAACTCTTGTTATAAATAATTAAATAACAATATATAAAATATATTTTAAATAAAGTTAAAGTAGAAAATAAAACTAATTTTCAATATCATTAAACAAAAACACAAAAAATTTTTTTACAGGGACAAAATAAAAATTAAACCCAAAATAACCAAAATTTACCCAATAAAACCCAAAAAACCCCACTGGGCCGGTTTTTTTTAAAAAAAAAAAGGGTTTTTGCCAACCCTGTATATATATATATATATATATATATATATATATATATATATATATATATATATATATATATATATATATATATATATATATATATATATATATGTATATATACATATATATATATATATATATATGTATATATATATATATATATATATATATATATATATATATATATATATATATATATATATATATATATATGTATATATATATATATATATATATATATATATATATATATATATATATATATATATATATATATATATATATATATATATATATATATATATATATATATATATATATATATATATATATATATATATATACAGTGACGCTCAAAAGTCAGTTGACATTTAAAAAAAGTGAATATTTAGGCATTATTTTATGAATGAGAAGGTATTGGGTAGAAAGTATTTATTTTAATAGAAAACAAAAAGAATGTTTGAAATAAAAATAGAACAGCAGTCGATTAATGTTAGAACGATAAAAAATTAGGTAAAACGCAAAAAGGTGCTGATCAAAAGTTTGTTGATAGCGACAAGAACACAAGTTTAAACAAAATAGTTTTGTTATTTTGATGCAAACGCAATCTATTTAATAATTTGTGGTTCCGCCTTTAGCATTGATAACTGCTTGCAATCGTTTTGGTATCGAAAGTACAAATTTCTGAATGAAATTAATGTCAATTTCTTTGTTTGATTGTTGTAAACATGTCATTTTTTGACTTTCTTTCGTTTTGAGGAATAGTTCTATTCAAGTATTCCCATATATTTTCGATTATATTTAAATCTGACGATTGAGCAGGCCGACTGAACTTGAAAATTTCATTATCAGCAAACCAATTTTTGACAATCTTTCCTGTATGTTTTGGATCATTATCCTCCTGCCAGATAAAATCGTTCTCGATTCTTAATTTTGCCACAGAAGCAAAGACATTTTGCTGTACAATGTCGAGAACTTCTTTGGTCATTTTACCATTAATCAATGCAATAACACCAGGGCTGTTCCATGAAATAGAACCCCACAGCATCACCAACCCACCACCAAACTTGACTGTAGGTATCATATGTTGCATTAAAAACTCCCCTTTTTTTTTTCTAAAGACCATTTTTCTTCTCTTCGTCATTTGGAATTCAAACTTGCATTTGTCTGTCCAAATTACAGATTTCCTGACTTCGAGTGGCAACTTTATATGCATTTTAGCAAACGCCAGCTTCTCTCTTCAATTATTTACAGAGATAAATGGGTTTTTTTGCATCGCTATACCATATAATCTGACATCATTGAGACGCCTTCTAATTGCATGAGGACTAATTGCCAAATTTAATTCGTTTTTAAGTTCTATTGAACTCATGTTTGGCATTTCAACCAATGTTCTATTGATCAGTCCATCATCTCTTGCAGTTGTCTTCCTTGGTCGACCTGACCCAATTAAATTTTCTGCGATTTTTCGCTGGTTCATTCGCTTAATTATCACCCTTACACCTTCCTCACTCAATCCAAATATCTTTGCAACTTCACTCAATGACTTTCCTACCTCCTCAATTAAACGATAAATTTCAATCCTGGTAACAGTCGAAGTTTTACGGTGTGCTATCTCAAAAAAGTTTATTTCACCAATATGCTGTTCAAAACAAATTGTGACATTTAAAATGCTTATTTGAAATATTATTTAACTTAATTAAGCCATTATTCTGCTTATTTCATTAATTTACCGGTGATTATATATTAAAAAAACACTTTTCAACAGACTTTTGGATTTAGCCAAAATTATAGTTCATGATAGATAGTAACTTATCTATTTATATTTTTTGCTATTTTTGTAATACTTTTAAATAGTAATTGTATCTCGAAGGGAATTTTGCAATATTTTGCTTTTCTTTTTGATTTTTGATCGCTATACAGCAGTTTTTCACAAAATATACAACTGTCAACTCATTTATGAGCCTCACTGTATATATATATAAAAGTAAAAATAATTCTTACATTTACTTTTTTATCTTTTTTTTCTTTTTTAACTTCACCTTTTTTTTTCTTCTCTTTTTTTTTGTCTTTTTCTTTGGGTTTTACTTCCTATAGAAAAATTTCAAAACCTAAGATTAAAGATACATACCATATACACCTTAATACCATATATTCAGAGTAATATAAAAAACACATTTAAAAGAAAAAAAATTTTAAAATTTATATAATGATACAATGCTTTAATTAAAAAAATTATAACAATATGATATTAAAATATTATGGAAGTATATTTGTAAAGTTCTGTTTACATCAAATAAGTAATTTTTTATTTGTTGCACTTTTTTTTTTTTAATTAAAAATAATAAAAACATTACGTCAACCAAATCTTTAACTTGAAATATTGCATTTGATCCACCTTCAGATTCTGATGGATACTCTGGGAATTTACCTGTAGCATCTCTAGAATTAAAATGGGTACTTATAATTGTTTTTACTTCTTTATAATAATTTGTATTTTTTTTACATATCTGCAATTTGCATATATGGTCAAGTGATTTGTCAAAATCTATGAGATTCAAATTATATAAGTCTGCAAATAGCTGAAAGTGCAGTTTAGAACCATTGTGATTGGTTGGATAGTTTAAACAATCAGTAAGTAAAGCTAGTACATTAGATACAGTCAAAATAATGTTTGAATAGCCACAAATATTATTATCAATTTTACAAATGTTTTAAAATAATGACATTTGCTTTATCTCTTTTATTTCATATTAATTTTTATCGTTTTTTTTTTACTTTTTCTCAGCTATTTTTTTTTTTTTTTTTTTGTAGTTTTTTGTAGTAGAGTTCCTCTAAAACAGATAGAAGAGTAAATAAAGCTAATACATTAAAAGTAAAAAAATAGCTTAAAAAATGTCAAAAATAATGATAAAATCTAATATAAATAAAAAAGATAAAGCAAATATCATTATTTTAAAACATTTGTAAAATTGATAATAACATTTGTAGCTATGCAAACATTATTTTGACTGTATCTAATGTACTAGCTTTACTTACTGATTGTTGGAGCTATCCAACCAATCACAATATTTTTAAAACATTTTATTGGTTGGATAGTCTAATGACTATATGTGGCTGTTCCTATGCTAAGCCAACAATATCTTCAGATATAAAAACATTTTATAGAAAAATATAGCATGAAAATTAAAAAAAAAAAGTATTATTTTATAGTTAGTATTGCTAACCATGCATTGTCCCTCTCCTCATACACCCCCCTCACCCCAAAGATAACCATTATATGATAATACTAACATTATATGATTATAACATTATACTAACAATAAAGTTTTGAAATTATTTTTTAAACTTTTTTTTTTTTTAATTTTTTTTTTTTAATTTTTTAAATAATTTTTATCCTCAAAATTATGGATGAGAAACCACTTTTGCAACAACCTGTCTAGATTGTTAAAAATTTATCTGAGATCTTCCAGGGTTGTTACTATTATACAAAGTTACTAGGAATATTACTATAAAAATAAAAAATCATTTTTAACTGACCTACTTTCAATGAACCACTGTCTTATTTGATCCTGTAACCTCTCTTTGATATCAACTCCTTCAAGATCTCTTATCTTCTCCTTGGTTTCAACAAGAGCCTGTTCATATTCTAATATATTTTCTTTCTTTACACTACGTCTATATTCGCAAAGTTTAATTAATCTATCAGCATTTTCAGATTTATCCTCACTTTCAGGTTTCTAATAAAAAAGTTTTAAAAAAAATAAAGTTAAAAGCAAAAAAAAAAAGCTTTTGGTTCATCAGTATAAAGTTTAGCGTTAAAATATGATAAATTCAAGGTTTTTAAATTTTTGAAATTTTTCCACATTTCAGTTTGCTATAATTGCTTATCAGTGCAATCAGAAGTTTATTTTTCCTATTAAAAACGAATATTAATTTTTTTTTTAGTATCAAGTATTATTTTTTTACAAAAATCATACTTGAACTTTATTGCAATTGAATTGGGTAGAGGGCTCAAAAGAGCTTTCACCAAAGCAATTTTTTGCAAAACATTTTCATTTGACATACTTAATGGACTTACTTAAGTAAGAAGTTTGTATAAAGCCAGTGTCATACCTGCAACATCTAAAAATCCTGCAGGATTTTTATATTTTTCCAGTATAATTTTATATTAATAATATTTATATTAAACAAGCCTTCCCAGGAAGCGCATGCGGTCACACCCCTTGTTCGTTTACGCTTAAAGTAATTTTTTTAGACAACTTGACCACAATTTTATATAGTAAGCGTTTTAAGAATTTGCACCAAAATAAAGCTATAAAAAACTCAAGAGAATAAAACAGCAATACTTGATGAAAAGAACTGAAGACTATACAAAATAGAAAATCTAAATAAAATAAGCTAAAAAAAAGGGGAAATATTAAAAAAGAAAAATATAAAAAAGAAAAGTCAAAAAATAATATACCTAAATATTTTACTGTTTTTGTTTTTATATTTTTAGAACGTTTGTTATTTT